TCTCTCTCTCTCTCTCTCTCTCTCTCTCTCTCTCTCTCTCTCTCTCCCTCTCTCCCTCTCTCTCTCCATCTCTCTCCATCTCTCTCTCTCTCAGTCTCTCTCTCTCTCCATCTCTCTCTCACTCACTCACTCTCTCTCTCTCTCTCTCTCTCTCTCTCTTAAAAGTTCTAACTTCTAACTATCGGTCGGCAGATTCGTATGGTTATTAGTTTGTATAGTTTGATAATTTAGTTCGTAGTCTCGTCAAACTACACAAGACAAGACAATATCTTTTCAAATACTTTTCTTTCCAACCTTTGTCATGATTTTCCTCCAGTTATTTGTCTTCTGATACATAATAATCTCACGCATGACGTCTATCTTTTATCTCCATGGCTCTAAGCTTTGCTACAATTTGGGCTCTTCTTCTCTCCAAAGTCTGATTAGCCCAGAGAGTTATATCAACTTTCCACAAACACAGACAGAGCTGGATTCATCCTTTTTCTTCGATTTCGACGATGATAATAATCTGTCACTTTCCAACACTTCCATCGATTCACTCTTCGATACGAATGTCAAGGATTGCAGTACAGCTTTTCTTCCGAACTTCTACTCCACAGCAGAACACAGCTTAGTTTCTCTCTCTCCAAAAAAACCCTATGTTAATTCTCAGGATGAAGAAGCACGTCACCCCAAACGACAAAAGATTACTACGTCCGAAAATCACTGTCGTTTCACTTATGCTTCTGAGCTCTCGAATGCTGCGTTTGTGCCAAATCCAAGTTGGAGAGATGTAAACATTTTCCCGTCGTCACAAGCACTAGTCTTTAATGCTTGTGGAAACCAGGAGATGAAGAGTGACATGAAAAGAGGCAATAGTAGTAGCGGTAGTACTAGTACTACTGCGGTGTCAGCGCAGAGCATCGCGGCCCGAGAGAGGAGGAGAAAGATAACGGAGAAGACTCAGGAGCTAGGAAAGCTGATTCCAGGTGGGAACAAGATGAAGACTGCTGAGATGTTCCAAGCTGCTTATAAGTACGTCAAGTTCTTGCAGGCTCAACTTGCTGTTCTTCTGCTCATACGATCAATTCGGGTAATTTCCACTTCCTTAAAGGAGTTGTCGTCTTTAATTTCTTCCCTTTTGTAGGCAGTGCAAAGACTCGAAATTATATATACATGTTCGTTAAGCTTTCCCATAATACATACTCTTTACTTTACATTTTTTTTTTCAATACTCGTTATTATATCTACCAGTTTTTCTTTTGTTACTCATTAAATGTTGTTTTAAGAATGAAATCCTTGTCTGGCGCTTCTGGTGATCGCTTTTATTAAGAACCATGAATGCATTTATTTATTTCTCGTCTTTAGGTTTTTGTGCTGCTATTTATGAGAGTTTTCGAGAAAAAAACTTTTGTTTGTTTGTATAAATGATGAGGAAATTAATATTCGGTTAACTTTTTCTTTTTTCTTTTTGCCGTTTACTCTCACCGTTCTAAATTCAATAATAAATTAATCTAACATTAACATATATTTATATATGGAGAAATTTATTAGAATGATTATCTAACAAAGTGAAATTAACAAAATGACTTTTTTTTATTTTTTGTGAAGAATGATCATTCGGTCGTTTTTTTATAAAAAATGGTCGTTCTGCAATCATTTTGTAAATACAAATTTTTGAAAAGTTATTTTACTAAGAAAATTTTCCTATTGAGTCATTTTTACAAAACCCTCCATATATATGTCTAATATATATATATATATATTTTTTTTTTTTTGCCTTTTCCTTTTTGTATTTATACAAGCAGGAGCAGAGAGAACAATCGTTAGTGCATATAAAAGAACTGCAAGTTTTAGCATCTCCAATTATTCAGGAAAAGTTGTACTCAGATGAGAAATGCTTGGTTCCCAAAGAGTTCGTTCAAGCCCTAGCAAACAATCATGAGATCCAATCAAAATCCTTCTTTGAAGACATTGAGCACTTGCTGCAGATCAATGGCTGATACAAAGTGACAATATAGATGGTGTCCACCTAACAAAAGCTAATTTACTTTTGGCGTTGTTCTTTTGATTTATTAATTTTGTAACATTTTTTTTTCTTTCTTTTCTGTGAATTAGTCCCTTTTCATTTACTATATAGGTATTAATCTAACTTTCTTGAAAATTTATAATTTTCAAGAAATGTTTCACTAGCTAGCAAGATTCAGTGTCTGTTGTTCAAATATCGTCCTTGAGTTATATATAAGTTAAAAAGTTTTTTAGATCGATTGAAGCTTTTTAGTTATGTATATACGTGACAGCTGCACTCTATGCACGTAAATATTCAATACTAGAGATTACATTCCCCACCCTAAAAAAATGAAAAGAAAAAAACAGAAAAAAAAAACTGCACACCTTAGATGGTCATAATATGTTGTACGAATAACTGTTAGTTCAAGAAGAATTATTATTATTATTATTATTATTATTTGAAAGAATGGTTATTACCACAAAAAAAAGAAAAGAATTGTAGAAAAAGATGTGCAATTTGCATTTTAAAAAAAAAAAACTATGCTACTTTAGTGGATGGGGAACGTTCTTCAAACAAAGGGTCTTTTGAAGAAAAATAATAATTAAACTCACTTTTTGATGTTAAATAAGGGTAAAAACATCATTTCAAGATTATATATATATATTTTAGAAATTTTTTTGTACACATACGTTGTTATACCATTTCTTACACTTTAAAATTTTTAATGGTAAACTAATAGAAGGGGTATCTTTGTTATTTTGGTAAAGTATTAGGGTAACAAAAGACAGAAACGTGTTTTGAAAGCACACGTGGTTATACCATTTTTTGTTTTAAAAATAGAAAAACAAAAATTTGTCGTTTTCAAAATTGATTTAAATTGATGTTATAAACAAATTGGAATGGGAATAACACTTGTCACCCTACTCTTTACCAATTTTTCTGCTAATCTCTCTGGGCTCTCATTTGTTTCTACTCCAATTGAGGAGAACATTTTTAGTCCTCCCAAATTTTAGTGAACATTGTATAAGGTTTTCGTTCTCTCGCGGATTGTTATCTAAGCACAAAATACTTTACGAGTAACTCTATTTCTGGATTTTGATAATCAACTGTAATATTATGCTTCCATTCTAGAAAGAAGAAAAATAAAGATTATAAAAAATAATCAAAACATATTTTTTATTTTGAATCTTCCCAGTTGCTCTTTTATTCTTGATCATGATCAAATTTTGGTCATCATAAAATAAATTTTGTGTTCTTAATAAAATCTCAAAAACTGCAAAAATAGGCGTTCCGCGTTGCATCCGGTCGACCGGTACCAAATCCCATATAATCTCACCGGTCGACTGGTGCCTGTGCACCAAAAATTCCAGATTTTTTAAATTTTTCAGATTTTTGATAATTCTGAAAAATTATCGTAAAAATCCAAAAAATCATAATCCAAGCAGTTTTTCAATTAATTCAAACACAAAATAATTTTATAAACCAAGAACATTAGAAATATTCACATATTCTGTCTTCAAGATAAATCTCCAACAAGAATTTGACATAAAAAAAATTCCTATACTGTTACTAGTTTACAAAAATTCTACAAAAGAAAATAAAATAAACCTAACGGCGATGATAGACCGTATTTCTAATTATATAACCAAAAAGAAATTCCTATACAACCATTCTAAACTCTAAGGAACCATAGCCTGCAAAAATTAAATTATTATAAACCATTGATAATTAACCAAAAAATTATAATCAATAATAATTATTTAATAACCATTAACCATACATTCATGATAACAAAAATATAGAAATCTCAGAGTTTCAATGCTCTAAAATCTCAATTCAAACACAAGGAGATATTTTAGATCATTAATCTATGTACATAGTATAATCATGAACAAAATAACCCTGACTTTGATACTAATTGTTAGAAAAACGGCAACGAGTTGCACAACAGAATTTTAATATTTTTTAAACAATCACAAAGCCAACCAAGAACATGATCATGAGGGTATATAACATAAATACCAATGTTTTGTAGTAGTGACCGCGTCCTGCCTTATAAATTGATTTTCGTATAGTGATAACTCCAATGTTTAAAGTTTGTAAATTTCAACGTATAATTCACAAGTAATTGTATTTTCCAGTATTGTGTCGAGAATTTTTCTCCTGAGATCATAAAAGTTTCCTTAAATTAGATGTTCTTTAATAAAGTTTCTTTTAATTTTACAGTAGTCAACTACGTAGGAAGTGCCAGTTTGGTAGACCTTTATTGAAGCTGCTTTTAGTTTTCTGAGTCTGAGAACTACTTTTAAAAGTGTTCGAATAATCTGTTAGAAGAGTGAACCCACTAGAAGAACAGTCAAGGCCACAAAATGTGAATTCTAAAAAAATAAAACAATCTTTTAAATAGATTTTAAAATTTGTATAAATTTTATTCCAATATTCTTATTGTTTATTAGATAATTTAAAATTATTTTGACCTATTAAAGCTCTATTAAAAATGTGGTTTCAAACACTTGCTGGCTTCTCTTTTTCTACAGATTTTTAACAAAAGCAAAAACTCTACCAAATGACTAATTATTTGACACCTCTGCTTACGTCACAGTTCTCTTGCATGAATTCATACGTACCTACTATTTGTTTCAATTGTTTTCGTGGGAACAAACAGCAAGTATTTGAGAATGATGGTCCAATTGGGTGGGGTCATTTCTCAAATCAGCCATCCTATAATAATTTATAGGGACCTTCTTTAGTACGTATGTTAAGTTTTTTATTCGTTGAATTTGTAAAAAATTATGTAAAAATTAAAAAATATACAGATTTAACATAAGAAAAACTTAATTTATCAGTACATCAGACATACTAGAAAATCTCCTTAATTCATATTGCTCACCATTTATCTGCTTTGTTGATGTACTCTAAAAGCTGTTATCATTTAAAAATCATGCTTCGCCCCATTTGCGTGTGTATATATATATATATATATATATAGAGAGAGAGAGAGAGAGAGAGAGAGAGAGAGAGAGAGAGAGAGAGAGAGTTTCAAGAAGAGAAGAATAAAAAAGTCTCAAACTGATATTTTGACCTTCCTTTCACAAAAAAATGACAACGAAAACAAAAAATGATAACAAAAAATTCCGTATGATGGTGATCAAAATGGTGATATTTTGTGCAATTGCACTAATTAGTAAAATACAAGTAATATCAGCAGTTGTAAAAACTTGGAGTGAATTCCCGCATTATAAAATTTTATCATTATCCCTAACAGCAAATAATTGTCTTCATTTTATTGTGTTTAAGTTCCATGAATTTAGAGCCGCTTAAAAAAGAAGGAAAGAGAAAAAACCAAGACAAAATTAAAAATATAATGCTTAAATTATCCTCCAGAGAAAGTTGGTGAACTCACCTTTTAAATATATGATTCTAAGATTTTTATCATTTATTCTTTATTAATATCTTTTGACTAATATAGTTCTTTAACTACAAGTTATTAATTAAGTGTAAAGAATAAAAATTCAATACCCATACATTTTAAAGGATGTTTATTTATTTTCTCCCCTAAATATATATTTATATATATCAAATATATTCAGTCGTGCAGTGACGAAGAAGCTCCTTCCTTGGGTTGTGCTAACTACTGTTAAAGTATAAAATTATTGTTGGCTCACCTCTTAAGAGCTTAAGCTTTTGGGATGGATTGGTAAACTAACTTGGTATCAGAGCGGGAGGTCCTGAGTTCAAACCCCTGTAATTGCACTCTTTATCCCCATTTAAAATGGTCATCATGTGTTGAGTTTTTAATATATCTCGGGCTTAAATATTCACATGTTGGGCTCTCTAATTAATTTACGATTGCCCATTGTCCAGCTCACACGTGAGGGAGAGTGTGTTAAAGTATAAAACTATTGTTGGCCTACCTCCTAAGAGCTTAAGCTTTTAGAATGGATTAGTAAATTAACATATATATTCAGTCGTGCAGTGACGAAGAAGCTCCTTCCTTGGGTTGTGCTAACTACTGAAGAGTTAGGACGTATTGAGTTCGCTCTCCGGTCTCCACCCTTCACTCTAATAAACTGCTTCCTGTTTATAGGGAAATCAATATCACCCTTTTGGGCCACATATTACGAGTTTTCACATGATTCCAAAACTATTTACTTTTGAGCTAATTTTTCACAGGTGCTGAAGAACACTCTTAAATAAGGAGAATCTTGTTCACGTTAACAAAACCTAATACATCACCGCAAAGATAGCAACAAAGTACTCATGGGTCCTGTGCAACAATCTCTATACCAAAAAGAGCATTCCTCAATTTTGAGAGCAAGCTCGAACATTCTATCTCCAGGCCAGCGATTGTCTCGTATGTTGGGCATTTGAGACCGATCTCAGGAAGGGTTCTCGCATGTACGTGCTATGAAAATTGCTTGCACAACATCTTAAACATATGATGCAATTAGGTTACATGTACCTAATCACATGACAACTAAATGGCGGTCTTAATTGATATAATTTTTTTTTTATTACAACAACTTAAAATAATAAAATTTGTCTGGAAAATATGAACCTAGTTTGCTTAGTAATGTTGCTATATTGCTTAGTAATGTTGCTATACTACTCATTAATGTTATAATACCTTAGATAATGCCCAAATGCGCTAAAATGTGCACGATACTCCTCTATCGTCATTCCTCCGTTTCCGATTGAATATATATATATATATATATATTCTTTTTCTTTTTTGGTTCTGAAGATTTCTATCATTTTCTACAAAAAAAATAATAATAATAATAAATAAATAAATAAATAATAATAAAGGGCGTATTTTGATATAATTTTGAAAATAGGCCATCCACAACAGATCATCAAGTTTGAAAACTCTCTTCAATTTTATGTTTATTATTTTGATATAATAATAATAATAATAATAATATATATAGATACACACACATTTGCAATGAAACAAACGATTCAATATCATGCATCAAAGAACGCTGGACA